CTGCCTGCGCAGCCCCCACCATGCCCCCGGCCAGGGCTTGCACCCCTTTTCCCAGTCTGCCCTGGCCTTGCACGGCCGCTCGGACCACATGTCCTACCCGGAGCTCTCCGCTTCGTCCTCCTCTTGCATCATAGCGGGATACCCCAACGAGGAGAGCATGTTCGGCAGCCAGCACCACCGGGGGCAGCACCACCACCATCACCACCACCATCACCACCAGCAGCAGCAACAGCCGCCGCCACCGCAGCAGCACCAGGCGCTGCAGACGAACTGGCACATTCCGCAGATGGCTTCCCCGCCGCCGCCGCCACCGCCGCCTCCCCCGCCTCCCTCCGCCTCGGCTAGGCACAGCCTGTGCCTCCAGCCCGACTCGGGAGGGCCCCCGGAGCTGGGCACCAGCCCCCCGGGACTGTGCTCGAACTCATCCAGCTTGGGGACCAGCACCCCGACGGGGGCGGCGTGCGCCCCGGGTGATTATGGCCGACAGGCGCTGTCCCCCGGGGAAACGGAGAAGCGGGCGGGCAAGCGGAAAAGCGACAGCTCAGGTAACCCGCGTCCCTCGGCGCTGAGAAGGGGAGGATGCGAACCAGGAGGACGAGGGTGGCCGGAGAGGGGGAGGAGGGGAGGGAGACCCCAGGCTGGGTGGATCGGGCTGCTTCTGAAGAAGCCAGCGGTGTCTCCTGGTGCCTCTGGCTGGGGTGATGGTGATAAGTCGCTTTGGGGAAGGAAGCGCGCGGCGCGTCTTGGTGGGAACAGAAGCGCGACCCGCTGAGGGCAAGAAACAAGGTCGTGGCTTCGGCTTGTAGTGGTGAAGACCTTTTATTAGGGTCTGGGAGCGGCTGGGGCCACGGGGTGGACCGTGAAATCCCTTGCCCGGACTGCTCCACCATCCAGAAAGAACATTTTTTTTTAAAAAAAAAATTTGGAATCTGGATTAGTGTGCGTCTCTTGACACCTGGAAACAAGAGTCCTCCAGCCCTTTCAGGATTCCCTCTTGGAAGGAGAGCAGTGACAAGTCAATGAGTCAGTCCCGTTTCCGTCTAGGATTCCTTGATTCATTTTTAACGTTTTTCAGGAAGATTAGCTACTAACCCCAGGAGCATCTTGCGCTTACTATTTTGACTAGTTCACAGATGCAGGTTGCAATGCTGTGCCGACTTAATTTGGGAGTGGAATTAACGCCCATGAAAATCAGCAGGGTTCCTTCGAAGTACGGTATAGATGCATGCCACTGCATTGTGATGCAACAATTCTGTACCTGTTTACTCGGCCGTAAGATCAGTTTAAATACTTGAGCTTCACTAATGAGTAGACATGCACAGAATGGTGCTGTAGAAAAGGTTATATAAAGATGTAAATACTCTTACATTTATGATGACGGGGAAATGGACTCCTGCCTAGGAATAGCTCATAAACTAATACAGTACCTTACTTACAAGTACACATTGCTCATATTTAATACAGATACATATTATCTTACAAGGACATCTTTTCTTATCATTTTCAAGAAAGGACTGTAAAGTGGTACAGATACATAGAATGTATAGTTAAAACCTGCTATAAATTCTGGGTTTTTAAAAATAATTTCTATCTCGTATTTTGAAATAAATCTATTTGGATTGCAGTGGTTGATCTAGTAAATAATGCAACTGAATTTAAAGGGGACCATGTAAAAATAGCTATAATTTTAGTTTTTTGGCCAAACACATTATGTACAAAAGATGTTGGCCTTATAATAAAAGATACACACAGAGAAAAGCATAACAAATACACAAAGGTAAACAAAGTTGTGCTTAGAAAGACACAAAGTAATAACATTTCCGAAATATTATTAAAATTTAACAAAGGAGGTGATGACCTTATTGTATGTACAACAGAATTTCTTTAAAGAGCCAAATATTAATTTAGTTTCTTTCTTCTTCTTCCTTTTTTAATATTTTGTAGATATATTTTTGTGTTAACAATTTTTTCTGCAGGTTACATTTTAAAAATGTCTTCAGTTTCTTATACTTCATTTCCCAGGATATATGAAAAAATGATTTTGCCCAAGCATTGTGCAATGAAGAGATTAATTAATCCAATGTTTCTATCAGATGATATTTGTGAGTAAAACTAATTTCTTTATCATTTGTAGTATTTGCTAATTGACAGAAAAATAAGCAAATATATAGTGCAGAATACAATGCAGAGGAAACATTAATTGCCTTTAAATATTAACTAACAAAATCCTTAAATTTACCACCTTTAGCTTTTATTGGCTTTAAGAAAGTCAGATATTCAAAACTGAAATACAGTGAATTATAGTGGAAGCTATAATAATAATTTTAAAGGCATGCTATCTTTAGTCCAATGTAATACATTCACAGGGGCAGTTATTTTTAGCATTTAAGTCTTACATTTATGTCCTGTACAAAAACAGTTCAATAAGACTTATTTACTTATAATGTGTCCAAGACCAGTACTTATTATTAATTACTGGTAAAAAGAAATAGGTACACATTATTTTAAAGCACAATGCTTCACTTTTTTGTTCTTCACTATATATGCTGCCTTCTGCACAGCCTGCTGTATAGTTCTGACAATATATTTAACTCTAGTGTAACAACAGATAGCAAATCCCAGTTTTAGGGCAACAGCTTCATATTTTTGCACATGGCAAATGCCTTTATTTGGAACAATTTTATTTAGAAGGTATGGACATTGGGCAAACACATACACACACACACAGTTCTGTGACTCCAATTACTGACTTTTGGACATGATTTAAATAATGAACTTTAAAGGGAACAACTTTCCCATAGAAGCAAAGAATAGCATTTGAATTGCTGTTCCATTTCCCCTGAAACTAATATTATGTTAAATTTCTAAATATATTTTAAGAGATGCATTTCAAAAATATTTGAAACCATGTTAGAATGCAACATTTGTGAAAAATTGTGTATCTCAAAGAAATCAGTCAGAGAGGTTCACAAAATATATCTGTATATCTTTATAATGGTGTTGACAATGGTGTTTTCATCTGGCATCACTTGTGTACAAATCTCTGAGTGTATTTACACTGGAAAGAGATAAAGACTAACAATAAAAATAGTAATGAGTTTGATATTTGATCAAATATTAGACAAGCTTATAACACTAGAGGAACAAATCCAGTTTTTGCTCTTGTTGTGTACTTCTTTTGAATGCATTGAGGACTTCTCTGTATATGACTGATCATGACAGAATCACAGAAAAGCTCTCATCTGTTTCCAACTTGATCTGTGTATCACAATAGGAAATACAGACATCAGAACTGTAGACAACTGATGACAGTTTCTTCATGTGTCTGCAGTAGCTCGCTCCTGATAGTATCTCCTGCTGACAAAAATGTAATCGCTTTCAGTGGCAGAACGTACAGCAAGAAATTCAATACAGTAGTTTAATTTCATTTATTTTAAATGATGTGTTTATTTCAAATCAGAAACTCTGAATGACAATCCAGTATTCAATATTTATATAATAACCTTAGTATGTGTTGAAAACCAATTTGATCTCATATCTGGTGAAGCTAATTCATCAGTCAATCCACCTGGGCAGTGACAGTCCAAGTTTACTTCTTTTTCCCTCACCTTCTCCTTCCTCTTTTCCTTCCCCCTTTCCTCCTCCTCCTCTCTCTCTCTTGTTTCAATCCTTTCTCTCTAATATTCAGGTCTTTAAATAGTTGTTCTTTAATCCAACAGAAATTCTTACTTGATTATCTTCTCATTTTAATTATCTGTTTCCCCACCTTTTTATGTCACAGCTATTAAAACTATAATTTATGGCTGCAGAGAATCATACTGATAATGTTGTGTCCCAAACAACATATCAGACATGAAGCCTGATAATTTCAGTGGATCTGTTACATCTGCCAAATTCCATGGATAAGGAAAATGTAAATTATTTTATTATTTGTTTTTGAGTAAAATTTTGCGTATAATAAACTGTTCTCAGATGGTTTTAAACACCAAAAATTGAGACACTTGAGAATCTTTGATTGAAAATATTATTTTGTAGCATTTGGCATTAATAATGATTGCAGATTTAAGAGACCACATTTTGAATTCTTGTGGGTACTTTGTTGTTAAAAATCTCCAAAGGAAGCTGTGAAACTGAGTTGTCACACGCAACTGCTCAGCATTCATTTAGTATGGACATTGAAATTAGCCATCTAAGGACTACTGAAAGCTAAAGCTATTAGAGTCAGAGGTAGATTAGGAGAATGGGTTTTATGTAGTTGTAAAATCTTGGATATATTTTAGTCCCAAAAATGAAAAAATGAAAAAAGGAAGTTGAATTTGGATTGAAGATAGACACATACAATTTCCGTTATACATCAAGCGTTTCCCTTTACACTTTTCTTATCTTAATTGATCAGATTTTCCTGAATTATTGATTAACAAAACAAAATAAAATAGGGCTGTTATCCTCTGGAAATCTTGACTTCCAACATCAAAACCTGATTTTATAATTTAACACAGAACGAGGTATAATTAAAATCACTGAAATCAATGTGGGATAACTTTGTAAAAACACCTCAGCACAATCTGTATTGCATTCTTCCATCAACTAACTGCAGCTTCCATGGGGGTCTTGCATAAACCCCAATGAATAGAGGTCAACTTACAATACTGTTTGATGGATTACACTGTAAATATTCGGTATAATTTCCAAGGAATTGCTTTTAAGAAAATATAAACATTCATCAATATACTTACTTAGAAGAACACCTGAAAAAAACTGACTTGATAAATGTGTGTTAATTGTATGGATTCATTGCTTTTAATCATACATGATTGGTCTCCAAAACATTTCAATAAGAAAAATGAGCAGTATGTGTACGCAAAAGGATTAATCAAAATTCTTAAACTTTTCAACATGTTGCTAGCAGAAAAGGAAAAGTTATTGGTTGTGAGCTACCCCTAGATTTAGCCAATGTGTTAATTAATTGGTTTTGACGTTCAGATGAGCCTCATGGCGCAGTGCATTACTGCAGTTAAATCTCTGCTCATGACCTGAGTACGATCCCAATGTGCTCAGGTAGCTGACTCAAGGTTGACTAAGCTTTCCAAATTGGTAAACTAAGTACGCAGCTCACTTGGGAGACATTATGTATCCTGCATAATTAAACTGTACACTTCCACAGCGTGCTTAAAGCACTATGGAGCGGTATATAAGCAGCACACTTTGCTTTGTTTAATCATGAACAGAAATGTAAACTAATGTAGGTGAGAATCCAGATAGCTACTTTAAATATAGCCAATATTTACAATCCAAAGAACTATTTCTAACACTCGTGGGGACCTTTGGCTTATATTTCTTAAATGGCAACTCTCCATAGGATATGATGAATTATGTATTTCTCAAACTAAAAATACTTTTAAAATTTTTTTGATATGGCATGTGAGGAATCAAAAAATATATATAACCCTCAAATCTCACAGGGCACATCCAAAGTAGCTCCTGCCTAGCTCTGGGTGTGTCCTGTTTTTTTGTTTTTTGTTTTTTGGTCTGAATAGAAGACTGT